GGAGGATCATATTTCATTGATAGAGTTCGTTTAGAACAATAATTATCAAGTGAGAATCGGTATGACCCCGTATGAAGTATCGTACGGGAGGCCTTACAGATTGCCTATATGTTAGGTAGAGCCGGAGAAGAGTTTAATGCTTGGGCCAGAGCTTATGAGACAGATTACTGAGGAAATAACATTGACCAGAGATCAGATTCTAGCCGTTTAGAGTCGGCAAAAGAGCTATGCTAATAAGAGATGAAAACCCTTGGAGTTTCAGATTGGAGATTCGGTTAGGCTGAAGGTATCGCATGTGAAAGGTGTTTAGCAATTCGGGAGACAGAAAAAGCTTACGCTGAGATACATTGGACCGTATCAGATTTTGAAGAGCATTGAAGTTGTGTCATACAGACTAGATCTTTCAGCATCGATGTCTAGTATACACAATGCATTTCATGTTTCTAATACAGACTAGATCTTTCAGCATCGATGTCTAGTATACACAATGCATTTCATGTTTCTATGCTTAGGAAACACTTTCATGATGTAGAGCAGCAGCGAATGATGAACGCACTAAAGATTTAGCTTTAGAATGATCTGACTACGATTGAAATCCAAGTTTGTATGCTTACTAGAGAAGATAAGAAATTTAGAAATAAGATGTTTTCCCTTTGTGACAATTCAGCGAAACCGAAAAGGAGTTGAGTAGGTTTCTTGGGAGCGCGAGGAGGGTATACATCGCGACTACCCACATCTGTTTGATCTAGTAAATTAAATTTTTGTATGACTTGTTTATGGCTTATGGTTGCATGTATGGCGATGTTTATACTTAACACTAAAATGAGAGTATTACCACTTATCTCCTAAGTACTTGGAACATATGGTATATATATGAGGGGTTCCTTGTTTGGATTTTTTGCTCGATGTACTTGTTCCATTTAGTTAGGAGTTAAGTGGGGGTATTTATATTTTAGATGGTTAAGTGTAGACATCGAAGATGATTTTTGGGAGCGCAAATATATTATGTCGCGCGACTTCCTACACCTATTGAGGAAGTGGATTGATTTATGTGTACGATTATTTGTGTGGTTATATTTAGATTTAACACTAGAATGAGGATATTTCTGCTTAATTCTTAATCTTTTGGAATACATGATATATATATGGGGGGTTCCTTATTTGGATTTTTTGCCCGACGTACTAGTTCCATTCGATTAAGGGTTGAGTGAGAATATAGTCATCCTGGATTGTTAAATATAAATATCCCTATATGCTTATCAAGAGTAAATATTCAGATATGTTTATGTTTGTGGGTTAAATTAGACCCTCTACGTGCTTTTCTAGTATTAATATTTGCTTAAGTATGATTTCTGAATTTCGAGGACGAAATTCTTTTAAGGGGGGAAGAATGTAAAACCCCAGGGGACAATCCCGAGTCAATTCCGTTGGTACCCTGGTATCTAACTCACCTGCAGTCCGGAACCATTACACGAGGGACTTATGGTAGAATTCGGACGAGATCACTGTCAGAAGACGAAGGATCAGATACCGGCTCCGCGATCGCTTCGGACAACACGGTATCCAGCGAGGGACAACCCCTATATATATATATAAGAGCAAATGCACAATTCATGCTCGATGTATAAATCTGGAAATTTATAACTAGCGGAAAGATTTTGTATTTTTCTCATAGATATAATTGGAATTTGGAAAACCTTAAAAGATAAAAGTTGTAGGTATCTTCAAGATCTTTCCAACAAATCTTAGATTACCTCATTCTGAGATTGTACGTGGAAGTTATGGCCAAAATACCGAAAGTTATTTTCCTAGTCAGATTAGGATTCCTGGTTCGGGTCAAACAGGTTTATTTAGGGTTTGCATATATATAAACATGTGTTTTCATGAAAATTAACATCCTTATATCAGAGTTTCAAACCCTAGCAGCCCCTCTTCCTCTCTCTGAATCCCTAGCCCTAAAGTTGAGAATTTTGAGAGCTCTGTGAAGCAAATATCGACACGAGGGCGAGATTATCAACGTGTAGCAAGGGGAAAACGGCTTGGTTGCACTTTTTTTGGTTGCTGGTTATTTCAGAGGCTTAGAACGACATCTAAGACAAGATTATCTTCATCCAAACCCTTCCCCATAGTTTAATAACTAGTTAGATGTTTAATATGATGTTGAATATGTGTTTTCATGCTTGAATCTTAACATGATGTGATAAAAGTTAAATTTTTTTAATGTTAAAACATAAACCAATGCTAGATTAGTAATTTTTTTTCTTGCTGTTTATGATAGTATCATTATCATGATCATTAGGGTTTTTCATAATTTTATTTATATATGAGAAATTTAAGAGATGTACTAAATAAATATTTTCTGCAGAAAACTATAGCAATTGTATCATGTTTAACTGAGATTTCAAAATAGAAAATATTCCAAATTTTACCAAACCAGTGCCAAATGAAAGATATATGTATCTAGCTTCTAAAACAGAAGACTAATCTTAAAAATCATTTGTATAGAGAAAGATATGAACTTTTTACTAATAACATATCCTGTAGAAAAACGGCTGCACATATATAATGTTTAACTAGAGATTTGGGATAACAAATGAACTCCAAACTGAACCAAATTTTTGTCATTTGAGAGATGTGTGAATCTAGGTTTCAAAATAGAAAACCATTCAAGATTTTAATGTTAAGAATTAGGTCAGCTTGACCTAAATCTTTCATGTCGAATTTTTGTGATAAGAAGTGTTTGATTTCATTTATGGTTTGTATGTCAGAACCAAAAATAAGAATGTCATTAACATATAAGCATAAAATCATAATTTTGTTATTATTGTCTATTTTATGATATACACACTCATCTGTTTGATTAATTTTAAATCCATAAGATAGTATGATCTCATCAAATTTCATGTGCCATTGTTTTGGAGCTTCTGGACAAGAGAAGAAAGTATGCAAGTTTATTAGATCACTATATGACCTAATGAAAGTATTCAAATCTAATATGTATTTTTGAATACCCATTTACATGATAAACTCAATGTTAATTAATTCTGGTGTGGTAGAGAATCCGTGGGGAGAAGCCCTCATGATTGCTTGCCATATACTAAATAGAATTCCATTCAAGAATTCTGATATAATCCCTTACACAATTTGGAAGAATAGAAACCCTAATTTAGATTCTTGGATTGTTGGAAATATTAGCTGTTTAGACAAAAACAAAAATTAGTTTGAACAGTTAATAATTATCAGATAATGTTGGGTTAATATTATAACACAGATATAAGGAATAATTCAAACGAAAATAAGTAAAGGTTAGAAATACAGCCTGATGATCGAAGCGTGCATAAAGCATTGTCCTAAGAATCTAATTGCCCCCTCTCGTACAGGGCTACGTGGCAATGGATCTTAGAGATACAACGATCCTCTGTCAGACGACCTCCTTCTCGTCGGCACGAGCTTCAAGAAGGCTTTGCGAACTCTTCACGACTTTCAGGGAACCAGCGAATAACAGCAAGAAAACTTTATTTTGAAGAGAAGAAAAGAAGAAAAATTCGGTTGTAATTCAGTACCTCTAGCCCTCGCAGGTGTTGGTTTTTATAGAGGAAAAACAACCATTTAGATCCATAATTAGCGTCGTTTAGATCCACAAATCCCGTCCATTTATTAAGCTATTTGTTTCCATTTTCGCAGCCAAATGCTTAACACGTTTTAATTGCTTAGCTCATTTTAATATGTTTTAATTGTTCCAACTAGCAAAAAATAAAAATTCAAAATGTAGCAGGTTAAGTGCCCATCAATCCGGAGCTGCATTCGTGTCCGCAGGTCGTGGGCGCATGCCAGCCGACCCCGAGCCCGACCCGGCCGACGCGCGCGTGTGGTGTAAGGCATAACCTTTATTTGCTTCTAGGCATATGAGAGAATGGACATGCTTATAAACACTCTTCCTTCCCATCTCCTATCCAACGTGGGACTAAAATTTTCCACTCTAAACTCAAGTTTTAAGTTACAACTCCAACAATTCCGTCTAAGATGAATCATCCTAGACGGAAAATCATCTACATAAAGTATTTTAGACAGAATTTTTTAACTATTTTCTTCAAAAACGTGGATCCAATCTTCCTAGATGAAATTTTTTGTCTTGGATACTTCCTAGACGGAAAATACACAAAGAAAAATAAAACACAAAGACTATCTGCAGTTGTCCTAGTTTTTGAAAATTTGCCCCAAATTTGAAATTTTTCTTAAACCCAACCTGATCCCTGGCCGACCCACTACTCCACCGCCTGTAATCTCCTCCATGCACCATCGATCACCTGCGCCACCGTCCACTAGCGCCACTGATCCATCCTTGCCGCGCTCCACCTGTTAAAGAGAGAGAGAGAGAGATGAGAGAGAGAGAGAGAGAGAGAGAGAGATAAAGAAAAAAAATATTGCGACTCCTAAAAGTAGTCCCCTCGAGATGACGATGCTTCCTCTACGCGCGCTGCGATCGCGCATCCACTTCGCCAACAAAGTCGCCCTACCCGCTATGACCCGTATCTGTGCTCTGCGAGGCATACGAGGAGGCCCCCCGTTGCTGTCACCTGCAAGGCTGACGCATAATTGGGTTTTTAAAAAAATTTAAGGGGGCCCACAAATATATGAATTGTATTTTAAAAGTTTTGTTTAAAGATAAATACATAAAGTTATTGGGTTCAATAATACAAAAATAAGTTATTGGGTTCAATAATACAAATATATGAATTGTATTTTAGAAGTTGGGTTTAAAGATAAATACATAATGTTATTGGGTTCAATAATACAAAAATAAGTTATTGAGTTTATAGGTAAATCATGATAAACAATTGGGCCTAGAAACAAAACTCTCTTTAAAAAAATGAGGATATGTTGGTGCAATATTGGTAAACTTCAGGGTATTTAAGTATAGTTTAACAAAAAAAAATAGCAATATGTTAATTTAGCCCTTCCACAAACTGTAATTCCACTTTTCATACCCAACCGCTCCACAGTCCCTTTCAAGTGCTGACGACGATCCCCTCAAAATCCCCACCAACAGAACCCCCAAAAAACCAAAATTCCTCCCTTTAATAATCCCTTCATCTCTATCCAATCCCCAAAACAACATCGTCAACCTCAAAAAATGTTAGGGTTCCGAGCTCGATACTTTCTCCTAATGGCGCTGGTGCAGCTTGCAGCAGCAGCGACACTGATCTCGGCCTCCTCCTTCGAGCCCTTCAACGTGAGCTACGACCACAGGGCCCTAATCCTCGGCGGCCGGCGGCGGATGCTCATCTCAGCCGGCATTCATTACCCTCGCGCCACCCCTCAAGTAAGTTAGGAAATCCATTGAAATCTTCCCTGTTAAAGTGTAATTTGTAGTCGTTCTTGCTCTTCTAGATTGTTAATAGGCCGGCGGCGGATGCTCATCTCAGCCGGCATTCATTACCCTCGCGCCACCCCTCAAGTAAGTTAGGAAATCCATTGAAATCTTCCCTGTTAAAGTGTAATTTGTAGTCGTTCTTGCTCTTCTAGATTGTTAATAGATGGTTAAAAGTTGACAACTTGGTCTGCATACCAGGTTCAACATCATTATAATCAGATCATTGAAGCATTTTAACGTCGAAATGGGATGGAATATACAGAAGAACTTCAATTTGTGATTTTGATATCAGACATGTGAGCTGGTGCCTGTTTTTTGGATGTAGATACTATTACTTTGTTTGGGAGTTTACTTGTTTGGATTGAGGGGAATAAGGGTGAAGGGAAGTTAGGGGAACCATTCACCTTCATTCACCTTGTTTGGGAACATTTAGGAGATAAAGTTATTCACCCTAGTTCCCCTTGGTTCACCCCCTAATAGTATAAAATTTGTTACCCCTCAAATTGGGGTGTAACCAAGGGGAAGGAAACTCCCTTCCCTTCTCTTCCATTCTCTCACCTAGTTTCCAAAAACTTCCCTTCACCCCCTACAAATCCAAACAGGCTCAAAGGGATGAAAAGTTAAATAATGGAAAGGAAAGGTGGGGGGAATGAGAGTGAAAAGATAAAATGATGTTTGGGAGTTTAGTAAGGGGTACGAAAGTAAAATTTACCTTGTTTGGTAGTTCTAATAAAGAGGAGGGAAGTGAAGTGAATATATATAAAGTTACATAAATACCCTTACATGTTATTAAGATGATTTAGATGAGGGTATATCTTAGCTATTGATTTTAATGTCATAAGGATATAATTGTCTTACCATATTGTAAAATTTTACTCTGTTTTTCATTTCATTCT